CTTAGAAATGTTTGGCTTACATAGATGAAGAATGTAAGTTGATAATTGACAAAAAATTCAAAAATTTTTTTTTAGAAGTCCGTTGAAAATAAAAACTTTTAGGATTTTACAGGACTCAACAATTTTATAATGTTTGCATATATATAGGTAAAAGTGACAGTGACAGGAGCAAAAAAGAGAAATATATGTTTCTCCTCTTCTGTGGTCCTTTGTTTTCTAATATAAGTTACAGACATTTAAAAATAATCTGTACCTTTCTTATACTGGCACCGAACAACACACAAATTATTTTTTAAATTAAAATAAAAATATGATAAATACTATAGTATAGTATAGCACTAAGACTTAGTTGTTTAAACTGAAATATTATCTCACTACCAAAAGGATAGTTTGATAAAAACTGGCTGCAACCAGCTTTGTCTGAACAGTTGCTAATTCAGCACTGTTTAGCTTTTTAAGTCCAAACCTTTGCCTACAAACCTTTAACAGAATTCAGGAGTCACCACACTCTACCTTCCCCAAACCTACTTTTACTATGAAATTCATTGCATCATTCCAGTCTCCACAGAAGTTTTGCCACACAGGAAGCTTCAAAGGATCTTCACCCCCCTTTCTTTGCAGGTCTGATTGGAATAGCAGCAATTGCTTCACCCAACACTAACTCTAGTTAAACCTGTTGATGAGTACTAGAACAGGAAAGGAACCACCTTCCTTGTCTCACAAAGAGAAACAACAAAACAGTCTACAGTTTCTGGGGTCTCCCTGTTTCCTACTTCTTTCCCTGATTATAAAATGAAAGCATTTTGTTTCCTTTTCACAGCTGCTATAATTGAAAGTGCCCAGGAAAGCAGAAGAAGGAAAGCAACCCAGGCTTTGGGGATCCATGAATGAGAGAGCAGTGTAAAATGCAGAACCTGCATTGTACCCCCAGGCCTTTGGTTCTCTGTAATTATGGAAACACAGATTCATAGTTGCAACTACTATATAAATCAAAGACTCTTACTCACTGACATAGAAACTGTGCCTTCACATTTTAATATGTATTGGCATGAATTTACAAGAGACTAAAGACCTGCAGGTAACCACTGAATATTTGTTTCTACAATCAGCAATTTTTCCTATAATGAAAAATAACCTCTACCCTCACAAAAAAAAAAAAAAAAAAAAAAAAGATCAGGATACTTCTCCTTATAGGAACAAGGGACAACACAGAAGAATACTAACTACCAAGTAAAGTGATTTGGAGAGGTTAACTTTTCTAATCAAGTCTCTGTCCGTCAAACCTGCATTTTCTTTTAAATAAGTATAATACTAATCCATAAGTCATTTAAGGCTTATGAGAGTCTGAGTAGACAGATGTGGAAAATGTAAAATATTCTCACAAACTGACAAAACCCACCCTACATATACAACTTGGAGGCTTCTGGATCAATGCCATTCCAAGTGGATTTAATTCTGTTTGCTTAGATCACTAGTTATAGAATTTGTAAATAACGTGATATCAAACATTAGAAATAAATTCATGAATGTTCCTACTTTTGAAGCCTCCTAAAAACTGCGAAAATACTAAACTCTTTGATGTGCATCCTTCCAATTGTAACATTTATAGCAGGAAACTGAACCAGAACTAGAGTTACATCTCCACCCTTCTTAATAACATGATGTGGTTGTGCAGTAAATCAGTGTCTTAATCAATGGAATAAAATATACTATCCATTCTGATAAACTGTTTTGCCAGTCTAGAGTGAAGTGCCATGAAAATGACAAAAATAATTGGGTTTGAGACTAGAATTTTCAAGTGCACATTTCTTTAATTTAAAGGGTCTGGGGCTAGAGGAGGGGGAGTTTTTTCCATTTAATGACTTGAGCACAGTGTGATTTAAATAGCATATTTGATTTGGGAATCTATTAGCTGATAATGACTCCTTGGAGAGAGAAAAAAAATTGATTCCCTTATTACTGGTTTGATTAGCAATATCTGTAATTCCATGAAGTTATAAAACAGCTCACTATTAAAACGGAGCTATTTTCCATCACTTCTAGAAGCAGAAGCATAAACACAGAGATGGCCAAGTTTCTGTGTTAAACACCCTCCTGCAATACTTTTACTGGCACTAGAACTAGGAAAACAATATTTGTTAATGTACATAAAGAAGTTTCAGTTTTGAAAAGTATGTATGCTAGGATCATAGGTATTAAGAGATGGACAACAATGTACAGAAGTTGCTATTTAAACAGAGATGCAACTACTATTTGACAAAGAGATGCAAGTAAATTTCAAGTGACCTTTTGATAGAGAAAATTAAGCAAATGTTTGATTAATGATGGCACTGATCCATATTGCTAAAGAAACATCATTAAAAGAAACTGCACTATAGTGATTATTAGGGTAAGAAAGGGGAGGTTAAACATAATTAAAGGGAATAATTAAATTCCAAATGTCTGATTTGCTTTTCACTTAGATTAGAATAAGTAGTCTAGTAAATTAAAACAAGAAATACTAATCTAAAAGCAAAGTGAAGATCCTCCCCACCAAGCTGACACAAAACTGTATTTTATTAAAGTGATTTTAATAACTTTTATTATTTTAGGACAGGGATTAGAACAGAAAAGAACATAACTATGGTCACACAACAGAATTCAACCCAAATGATGAACAGTGTTTTAGAATTGAAGCGCCCCCTAACTTCTTTTATCTGGACAATGAACAGTTGAACACAGAAATTAAGGGACCCAACAGCCTATTAAAACACATGTTCAGACATACTACAACAAGCATGGAACAAAATACAGGGAACGCTGTAGTAAAAGCCTGTAACCAGCATAAAGCAGCATCTATTCTCATTCAGGAGCAACAAATCATGTTATCTACTAGTCTCCAGGCCTAAAACCAAAGAAACTGCCACTGCTCCCATCAGGCAATAGGCTTTGAATCAGATCTGCAAGGCTGCAGGACTAGAGCTTGTCAGTCATATTTTCTCTAAGTTAGTCTTTGGCTTCTGCTTAGCTTGCTTAGTTACAGTAACAATGCTCTAACAGCCAGGTAACACAGTCTAGTCTATTTTACTTTTAACTTAGGCTGTGTGATTGCATGGGCTAGTGACTATTGTTATAACAATTTTTATATATGTCTGTACCTAAAGTAGCTATTCTGCAGAGAATGAACTATTACTGTAGAATAAAAATGTAGTGCAGAAGACTACAATGATAGGGTGATAGCAGAGGTATTGAAAGTACAAACACAGGGTGGCACCAGAGGAAGCAGGGCTATAAGCACCTCACTAGGTCAATTACTGCTCATGAAAAGAAAGTAGCTTTGGGACTTGGCTAACACTAATTTTAGAGAGAAAAAAAAAAGACAATGATAAAGAGATCAAAGAACAGGAATTCTACACATGTAAACCACAAATATACAGAGAAGCTGTGAACCAATAAACCAAGATCGATGTCAGGACCCTGAGAGTACCAACAGGCCATAATTGCCCATCCCAGTAGAGAACCCACTAACCTTGCCTGTGAGCCTGGGCCACATCATAGGAATATCCACACCCGGACCCATCTCATGTTCTTCCCCACTTACAGATTTTGCTTCCTGGCTTGACATCAGACCCAGCTTATCCATTTGTGTGTGATAATCTTGAGACAACTGGCAGAACCTGCCTTGTGGTACCACCACTACTAACCCTACTTGTGGACAGGGGATGGTGCCTCAGTGGCCGTGACACCACCTGCACCAGGGTTTACCATGTTTACAGCTTGACCCCCATAATTGTGCAGCTCCCCTCACCCCATTAACTTGCAGCAGATCCAAAGTTATCATTGACAGAGAATCATAGAATAATGATATTAAGGAAAAGAACCTTGAAAGGTCTCACAGGTACATATCTTTCCTGAACTGAGGATTCCAAAGCTGGACACAGAAATCTAGGTGGTTTCTCACAAGAGTGGAGAAGGGAGGTAGAATCACCTCCCTTGATCTGCTGGCCATGTTTCTTTTGATGCAGTCCAAGATACACTGGTATTCTGGGTTGAAAGCACACGTTGTCAGCCCATATCCAATATTTCATCCACCAGTAAACTCAAAGTCCTTCTCTCCAAGGCTGCTCTCAACCCTTTCATCCCCCCACCTGTATTGATACCAGGTTTTGCACTGATCCAGGTGCAGCACCTTGCACGTGGCTTTGTTGAAGCTCATAAAGTTCACACGCACTCATTTCTTGAACCTGTCCAGGTCCCTCTGAATGGCATCCCTTCCCTCAGGTACATTACTCAGGTTGATGTTGTCACATCCACAACCACACCACTCAGGTTGATGTTGTCAGGAAATTTGCTGAGGGTGCACTTAATCCCACTGTCTATGTCATTGATGGAAATATGAAACAGTACTGATCCCAATGTAGACACCTGTGGGACACCACTTGTCACTGATCTGCCATCCAGACATCAAACTGTTGACCACTGCTCTCTGGATGTGATCATCAAGCCAATTCTTTATCAACTGAATAGTCCACCTATCAAATACATATCTTTCTTATTGAGAGAAAATGATGTGGTGGGGGACCATGTAAAAGGCTTTACAGAAGTCTAAATAAATGACACCTATAACCCTTCCCTTTTCCACTGGTGTAGTCACTCCATCATAGAAGGCCATTAGGTTGGTAAGGGAGGATTTGCCCTTGGTGAAGCTGTGCTGGTTGTCCCAAACCACCTCCCTGTCCTCCATGTGCCTTAGCACGGCTTCTAGGAGGATCTGTTCCATGATCTTCCCAGGTACTGAGGGGAGGCTGGGAAGTAGTGTACTTCTCCCTGCAGTGTAATGGAATGCAATTACTGTCCCATACAACAAAACAGAAATTCATTCTGTTCACAGCCTGTGAGACAGCTAAAACTGTTAAAACAAAAGTAAGCAGTAGTATTCCACATAAAAAGCATTTTGGTATTAAAAATATCATTCATCATTTTTTGAAATATCTGAACATTATGTTGAGAGAGTCCCTTACCTCCTCTCTTGTTTAACTTGGCATAACCCGGCACATAGCTGCTTGTCATAGATGATGAACTGCTGAAGGAGGAATGGGGTAATGCTGAGACCAGAGGTTCATCGCACTTTTCTGAAACACAAGAAAACATATTCACTTTATGCTCTTAATTATTCATACATATTAAGTCACAATGTGCTCTTTATTTATTTTTTTGGGTGGTAACACAACCTTGTTATTTTTCACGTGTGGCATGTGGAATGCATTTAGCTACATCCCAGCTCTGCAACCAACAAACCAAACAAAAACCCACCTCAAAACCCACAAGAAATCATACCCACAACTTGACATGAGGAAAAAAAAAAGGACTTCAACAAAGGACAAAATTAGATAATGGTAAAGCCTAACCATGGGCCACCACTCTCCTTAGGGATGTAACAGCTGAACCACAAAAAAAACCTGCCCTGATATACCTGGAATGTTTTTGGTGACATAATCTAGTGTTAAAGAAAAGAATTATCATGAAAGCTTTGTAAGAAGTAGATAAGATACAAATTTTCATTTATATAATAGAAGTGCTGAAAAATTGAAATTTAAAAAATAAATAAATAAATTAGGGGACACTAATGAATCCCTATGAATTATCACATACAACAGATTCACGGAAAAAAAAACTATACTAACTAATCTCTATAATGCATTTGAACATTTTGCTTCCATTTTACTCAGTTATAAAGAAGATTAACTTGGTATTAGCATGTAAGATGTAAAAAACCAAAATCAGTCTTTGGTTTTCTAATGAAGAAAAATGTTTTAAAAAAAATCTCCTGTTGTTGTATGATATAAATTAGAATGTAGAGCTATGGGTTTGGATTTTTCAAATAGTTAATGTACTATCCTTTGTTCTAGTTTTTGTAAGGCATTTCAACAGATGGGAGAAATATGTAGCTTAAATTACTCATTTACTTTACAGGTACAACTAAAAAAGCCCTAGCCTACACCAGTAAGCTTGACTAATCTTTTTAAACACATACATTGCAGCACAAGCTCTACTGCAAGTGGAAACACCCTCAATTTATGTATCTAGAAAGTGTTAGGTGGTCTAGACCATCACAGGTCTAAATACACATAAGGAGCATATTTAGTGATCAGCCACAACACACAGTTTTGGAACAATAACAAACCGGTGATTTGGCTGGACTGGATCATGTGAAGGTCAAAATAATCATACCTTCTAAAGAAGAACTTTATGAGGAAAAAAGGGATGTGAGTTAATCAAGTAATTTACAATGACATTCACTTAAAACGTGCGGTCTCATGTAATAAAAAATAAAATTACTTTCGCAGCAACAGAAACTGAAGACCATAAATGCAGAAGAACATTAATTCAGGAGTCAGTACTTTGACATTTAACAAAATAAATAAGTTTCTTTTACAAACCTCTGAAGTAAAAAACGTTAAGGGGAAAAGTAGAATTTATACAAGCACAAGCATGAGTAAAGGGCATCTACTCTGCATTGAATTAAAGGACAATTCCAGAGACTTTTAAGTTCACTACCACACTATTTAATGATGGAAGTTTGACAAGGTTAGATAAATGGTTTCAAACACTGTTGTTTATACCACAAACCAGAAAGATCAAATCCCTTCTCCCTCTACTTTGGCTGTGGCCAGACAGCACATCTGGTCAGAAGCCTGCAGCCAGGTGTTTCTCACATCACACCACTCAAGCAACACCCCAGGGTTGCACACACCTCTCCCTAGGAGCAGGGATATGGGAGCAAAAGCCTACGTTTTAAGATCCTGGGTGCCAGGTTGCTGTTATTTCAGTCAAAGTAGTAAAAAGTAAGAGCTTAAGAATAGAAGTGAGCAGCAGATTGCCCTAATTGCCAATTTTTGTCCTTGACATCATAATCACAGAAATACAGAACTATTTGACAAAGTTTTTCTCAAGTATTTCTTTATCTGCAGTCTATTTTCTGTAATTCATAAAAATATGTTTTCAGCTTAAAAACTGACAGCAAACTTCTTGTGCTGTCATGTCACTTAGTGCCACCTAGCTTGAGACTTAAAGGCATTTATAGCTAGTCCTATTGTCTAGGTAAAAATGGAATGAAACATTTGTAAGCAAAACAACATATAATCAGAAGATTTTAAAAATACCCAACAAAATCTCTTTGTAACATTTTCCTGTGCTTTTATTGCACGATATTTAAAGGAAAAAACATATTCTCATCAGTAATGAGAGCTAAGGTTGAACGTGTAGCTTTGTTCAGTTTCCTAGGGGTTTTTCAGTATATTTTTTTAAACAAAATTGTTCGGTTTATACAATTTTCTGCCACCCATAGCTTCAAACTGGGGTGAGGGGAAAAGTCTACATCTTCATGGAAAAATATTAAAAAGACTTGGATATAAAAACTGGACGCTATTTATGCAATTTAATTTGTAACTTAATAGAACGGGAAGCTATTGCTCACTATATTCTAGAAAATAAAAGAAAATAAAAATAAGAGTATAAAAGAAAATAAAGAAATAAAAGAGCTATCATAAATCATAACAAGTAAACTTTTTTAAAGTTTTTTAAAATGTTCATACAATATCTGCAACAAAAATAAAGACGGATTTTAGGCAATGTGCTCAGGAAAAACAAGACAGCTGAAAGAAACCTCTTCAAATAGTGGAAGCTCATCAGAACTTCTAATCTTTTACTGAGTCCAGTAGCTACTGAATTTTAATTTGACAGCTTTTATATTGGTGTTACTATTGAAGACACGTAAAAGAAATATGGAAAAACATTTTTGGAAAGAGTACTAGTTTCTAAATCATCATTCCCCTGTATGGCCTACCTTGCACTAACTCATACTCTTGGATTCAAAAAAATACAGCAGAGAAGCTTTACTTAGTTAAATATGTATATATAATTATATATTTATATATAATTTATATATAATTAAATATATATGTTATATATAAATATACATTTATATATAATTAAATTATTTATTTATATATATTAAATTATATTTATATATTAAATATATATATTTTTATATATATATATAAATCCCACAGGGAGTATCACTCTGTATTTGCCACTGTGGTCACAATTTTTGCAGACAGTTGTGAATACATTTAACATGGTGTACATGTGCTTTTGCAGTATTAAATCTGAACCGTCTGATTTCTTAATTTGGTTGGGATCAACAATATTGGGGTGGGAGTTAGAAAAAAACAAAACATAATTGATATAGTTTTCCTTCACTACTGTTTAGAACTGTACTCCTTTCCTATGCCTGTTTGGGACATCAACTAATAAGTTTGAAAAAAAAATCAACAAACCAACCAACCAACCAACCAACCAAAAAAAAACACCACAAACCCCATCCCCACTTTCTCAGTTTTTAAAAACAGTAAACCTCCCAATCTTGCCTGCTCATTTAGGTTTCAAAAATATAGGAAATCCACCATAAATGTGTAAAAATTATAGGGAAGGATTATATTTCAAATGAATAGACTTAAAAGAGATATTACATCTCTTTAATAACTCATGACTTTAGGTGCAACAGAACAAAAGTTAGAAGACTGCTTACATAAGCTAATATTTCTAGCCCTATATAAAAGCTGCACTAAATATATTGCACTCTTTAAACTTCCTTCAGAATATGAAATACTGTTATGCTACAGATTTAAGAGAAAAAAAATCCTTGGGAACCTTTGGTTCTTTCAGCAGTTTTAGTTATTTCCTGTGGAATCCAATTTTTTACTTACTGAAACCAGAATCATATATACCTTCCTGTTACTGAGATGTAATAGCTTTCCCATATAAGTCAATGCACTGTGCCCTGTTAATCAATTACAGAGCACACTTTCCTGTCAGCATCGTAGCAGCAAAGAAATAAACTCTCCTCTATACCATTTTTCTCAGTGATATATTAACATCCCCGCCAGCTGAAGTCCATTTAAATGTTAACTTTTTGAAGCAAAAAGACAATTCCCCTCCACCCTATTCTGTTTAGATCAAAGGAGCTGCTAGCTTTGTCATAGGTATGACAAAATTTGCTACTCTGACTTCCCTATTGAGAGGGAAATAACAACATATGTCCAACAGAAACAAGTTTCCTTGAGATACAAGTAATTAGACCAATGGAAGGAAGGTCACCTAATGTCATTAAATACAAACGCAAAACATCTGCAATCCACAATCTGTTAACTCCTCAAGACTTAATGATCATTGAAGCAAAAGAGTGCTGTGGCTTGCTCTGTTCTTACATGTTTTCTCAGGTACCCAGCTGTTGGAAACCAGGTAGCAAGTGAGATGGATCTCTTGTCCTTTCAAGTGCAGCCTCTCATATTTCTGGTGTTCACGCTCAACCAAACCAGGAAAGGGATATGTGCCCTTTCCTGTTTTACAATCTATTTATAGCTTATTTTTATAGTCTAACCATCTGGATAAACTAAAAACGGGCTGTCTCCTACTTTGCCTGCAATTGCTTTAATTCCCACTTAGTTAGTCCATGAACTATTTGGGGAATAGAGACCATGATTTTTGAAAGGACAGATGTTGATTGTAGCACAAAGCAGACCATATACACACAAACTCTCTTTTTAACCCCATAGGTTGTTAAAGCTTAATCCTCACTATACCAGCAATTTCAGTGATTTTTGATGGGTAAAGCAGAGTAAAAAATCTCGATGCTTCACTGCACAGAAGTCTGTTCAAATCCCTAGCATCCTGATCAATAAACAGGTCACCTGTAAAGCTGCTGACATCTCTTATCAAAGCAGTCTGAGTAGATGAAAAAGACAATCTGCACTTGTATCTAGCAGTAGGTTTGAATGCACATAAACAACTATATATCTAAAAATATTAAGAAATGGAAACATTATACATTTATAGTCACAGGTGGTTTTTATTAATAATTTGAAGCTACATCAGAGGATCTCTCAGAAGCTCTTGCAAAGATTCTGTCAGCAAAGTAAAAAGAGACCTGTGCAACAGTGGTCCTAAAAAAGAAAAATACTTGGATACTGATAGATTTCATCACATATAAGTGATCATGACTTATTAAGTAAGCATTTGAATAACAAAGGCTTTTACATCATTTTGGTCCAGCATGCACTGAGCAATATAA